CATACAGTGGCTGATGGTTATGGGTTGTAGTGTTTGAAGTGGACCCTAAACCCTAGATCCTAAACCTTGAGGTTGCGGTGAGAGGCGAGGCGCTGCAAGGCCGGTACCTGGGTGGTCAGTATGCATTGTCATGCTACTAATAGTATTTTGCTATAGTATTATTGTAGTATTGAATATAGATGCCACTTTGCCGAATGTTGCCCTTGCCATTGCAGCAGATAAGCAGGCTACAGAAGTGGTAGAAAGAGTTACTCGTACACGTCACTCTCGTCATCTATATTCCTGCAGAGTCTATCATGCGTCCGGCCCGAGCCATACACGTGTTTCTTTTGTTTCAGCTAAAGTATTCTGAGACTTAGGTCTCACGCTATTCTCCCTAACCCCCCGCGCCCCTTTGCTCCCCCATGTTCTGCCAAGGGCCGTAGCATGATTAGTGCTTGGCTGTACGGGCCATTCGCTGGGACATATGCCCTGCATAGCTAGACTCTTGTCATCAGTGATCATTGCAGCAGCTATCGTCGAGTTGTTGCTGCTACTTGTAAGAAAGCTAGGAACTGACAGCAACGATTGTTTTGCCCTGCTGGCCTTTTGCCGCGCTGCTCGTCAGCGAGCACATGTGATGCGGGTTCGTCGCCTGCATATATCCCGGGGGCTTCGTTTGGACACAGGGCCGCTACCCGCAGTTCCTTTAGTCACAGCTGAAAGGCCGGGGTTACAACAGCCAGTCTGGCCTGCAGTTGAGCCGCTAGCCTTAAGGCCGTAAGCTCAGATCCAGATTTATCAAGCTAGATCTTGCGAAGCCGCGAAGCTGACATCCCACACCGTGCGGTACCAACTCAACCTCAAGCGTGGTAGTACCGTGATGTACCGTGGTACACGTTTGAGAGATGTGTTTCGGTTGCAAGTAGGGCGTTGCGGTTGGAGCTGACGGGGCACAACTCCCGGTCCAAATGATCCCTGCAGAGCTACTCTACGACGCCACTAGCGTCAGTGCATAGCACGACGGACTCTGCAGATCCGAGTAAACTTCTGAAAAAAGTGTCATGACTAAAGGTTGACCCTTTGACTGAGTAATATAGGCTATAGGCTTCGGAATAGTTCGTCATATAGCTGCGATAGATTCTATTCAGGTCTTCGCAATCCTCGCCCAGTGCGGAGTAGTGATATGGACTGCGACTGCAGGGTTCTGGGACTTAGTCGTCAGATGCCAAAAGGGGGAGAACTGGGTTTTGAGAACTACCAACTATCCCGTATGGGGGCATCTAGTCTTTGCCGTGATGGTTAAGACCTAACGGCAGCACTTCAAGCCGTTGCTGCCGATAAATTGGCTGATCTGCAGGGCCCCGTCATCTGTCAATCTGTTTAAGCAGCGCTACTTAGGGCCGAGCTGCTGAGTGTTTGAAGCCTGTGACGTCAACATGGCCCATCTTTCTTACTCGGCCGGGCAAAATTTAATTGCAAGGCCGAGTGGGAGCAGAACTGATGCTTCCAATCCCGGCTATTCTACGGTGACCGCCGAGTTGCGAACCTTCTACCTTGGTTGCGCGATTCGGTCCAGATGTCACGGGGATGTCTCCAACAAGGTCCAAAAAATAGAAACCTTGAAATCCCAAACCCTGAACCCCGAAACCCTCGATTCCTTGTAAGATCCTGATTCCTTCAACCCTCAAAGGCATCACCCCAAACTAAATCCTGTAAGCCCCAGACCCAGAGACTCCAATATCCCTTAATTAAGAAATATGCCTTAAATCATATAAGGGATCCTACCATAATTTAAGGAATTTTCCTTGATTAAGGGATATTGGAGTCTCTGGGGAGCCCGCAGACTGGTTTGGCCTTTTCTGGAGACCAAGAGAGCACACATCCTCGGTCATACGGTGGACATACAAGCGCCACCATTTCCGTGGGGTTTTCGTGGTCATGCAGGCCTGCTAAAGGTTGCTGTTATACCTTAGCCTACCAGAGCCTACCTTTTTGTAGGTTCTTATTGTGACTTCTAATGTGGAGTTTATCGGGAATTCAGAGAAAGTGGGGTTTGGTAGGTTCAGGTAGATCTTCAGAACGCGTTGAGAGGATTTTGTAAAGGATCTGAAATGGTCTTGTCATGGTAAGAGGTACTAAAGGGCCAGGACGCGGTTAAAGAAGGCCTTGCTATGCACGAGTGTGTCACGGTCTTGCACGTGATAAGGTTCTACTTAGGGATTCAGGGTCTTTGGGTCTATAGGGTTTAGGGGTTAGGGATTCGGGGGTTCAGGGTTGAGGACAGTCCGAAAGTTTTAGCAAGCGATTCTCTCCATGCGCGTTTAGTAGAGGATTTAGGGTCTACAGGTTAGGGTTTAAGGTCAAGGTAGTAGAAGCCTTTACAACATCAGGTTCGTCTAGATATAGGGAATCTTAAACTTCCCAGACGGATGCCTAAAAGAGCCTTATCTCACCGTACACACAGGTGTGATAGAAATTGTTTAGGTTTGGGTGGTTAACTTGGAAAAACGGAGGAGGCGTGATCAAGCATTTCACGAAGTCTCAATGATGCCTAGCCTAGGCAACAAGGTTGAGTGGGTGTTGTTTGAGAACCCCACCGCCAGAAACTGCGAAGGCGCTGTGACAAGCATTCGTTTGAAGATTGTTTGAAGGGTCTCGCGCCGGATTGCGGCAGAAGCAGCGCAGGGTCGTCGTGACCTCGTTTGGAACGCTGCGTGCGAGGAGCCAGCAAACGCTCACAGGAATGTAGGCTGGAGGACTGCGCAAATGAAGACACCGATGAAGCTTTGGCAGCACGACGCTCTAGCCCTTCATAGCAGAAGATCCGGAGTACCCCGTGACAACTGCTGGTTGGTCCGCGATGCCTCTTCCGGAAGCGGCCCTCTCTTTACAAAGCCCCCAAGGCGCGTGGAGCCGTCCACGCGTGGCTTCGGGCTGAGACGTGGCCGACCGGGCGTGGAGACCGGTGTCAGAGATACATATTTGCACACAAAGCAGCCGTTTTTCCGGGCCGCCGTGCGGTGCGCGTAGAGCTGGATTGAGGAGCACGTGTCGTTCTTCAAGTAGTGGATGCCTGTAGGGGCCTTAATAATTAGTGTGAATAGGGTTTTGAGGCCCATCGAACGAGGAACCCCCCCAAAATATCACAAAATGGTATTGGTAATTATTCAGGCCCCTGTATTAGTGGATAACTCGATGGCAAGAGGTTTTGGCGGCTAACAGCGCTTGGAGTTTGAATGCAGCCCTGAGATGCTAAGGTCTCAGATTTGTGGTTTGTATTTCAATTCTTGGCGTTTTTAGGCGGTGCCCATTTTCTGAAATGTATAATTCTTCGTGAGGCACAAGCTAGCTGCCCACCTGCCTACCTAACGACCTACCTGCTTACCTATCCATCTATCCGTCTATTGGTTTATCTGTCTATTTATCTATCTATCCACCTATCTATCCATCTATGTGCCCATATAGTATACGATACGTACATGGGCATGTATTGCATGTATGCATGTACGCCTGTATGCATGTATTTATGTAAGTACGTATGTATGTGATAATACTGCAATTGGCTACTCTAGATGAGTTTGGGGTGGGAGATCCAACCCTAAACCCTAAACCCTAAAGCACTGGCGGTCTGTAGTTGCCGTAGCTGGATACGCGCTGCTGTTTCGTGGGAGAGCATGCTCGAAGAGTGTGAGCCTCACCGCAAAGGAGAGGCACGTCCCCAGGGAAGTTCGACTCGTCCTCTGCAATGCTCTACTATAGGGGCCTAAATAATTCACTGTTGGGGCTCCCTATTATAAATATAGTGTAATGCGCCCCGAGACCCTATTCTAATTATTACGGCCCCTATGTTACTGCTTTACCTGACTGCTCTACTCTACTGCTTTACTTGACTTGCAAAGCCCCGGTTGCAGAGAAATCCAGTCATGCAGGGCAGAAAAAACACACTATATGGGGCCGTGCCTAGCAGCCCAAAGCTGCACTGGGACGTCAGGCCACGGATGGGTGGCAGATGGAGAAACCTGTTTGTTACGCTTGGGAGCCCTCTGCAGACGTCGAGGATCCTTCAGTCTTGAGCCTCTCCTCCCAAAAAGGGTCGGATTCCTGAAGGTTTGATGGCTGGTAGAATGACGCCACCTCCGGTAGCTACTGTAGTAATCCCAAGCCGCCATAGCCCCTACATAGCAGCTGCAACGTGCAGCCATCGGTATAGAGACTATGAAGGATGGTGCTCCCAGACGTACAAAGGCGCCCGTTACGAGCCTGACTGAAGCTTCGAGGCCGATGAGGCAGCCTCCATGAAGAGCATTCGCAGATCGGGCAAGGTTCTGAACGTTTCAGACTTTCGGTGAATTGGGAAGCTTGGCAACAGCATTGCGGGGGCATGCTGTCACTGAGAGCTCTTGCGTGTTCCTGACGCCGGAAATCAAGAGTCGTTTTCAGAAAGCAGATGGGTTCTTTGTGAAGATCCTCGCATTCGCAGTGACTGGCTGATATCTGTTGATAGAAGAAGTTGGGAAGGAGACTGCCGCAGCCTCGGCGTCGCACAGTCGCGACTCCGCTTCAAGACACCGAAAAGGTCCATTACGGAGAAAAGAAGAAACGAAGCATGGGCAGAGCGTCCTACGAGAGCAGTGAACCTCGGCTTCATGAAGGCTCTTCACTGTGATAGGGGAGCTGCAATACGAAGCCAGGTCTGCCTCACTAACTTACACAAACCTGCCGTAAAGGCCTCCGACGACCATGCTAGGCGAGGCGCCGAGACAGCTCGAAGACTTGTCGTAATTGAAAGAGGTCGGCCAGTATTCTTTGCCGAGTGAGGCAAGGCGAAGAGAGTCAGTCTTGGTGCCTTGTGGCTCTGCAGGAGGAGTGGAACATGCTGTCACTAATCATGCCGCCCTTGACCAATCTCTCGTCACTCCCGGAAACCACACAAATGACGGTTGGGGCTGACAAAATCATCCGAAACCGTCCTTCCGTTCCCTGCGGCCCTTTTTGTTGTCAGAAGCGCCGGGGAGCAAATGGCGGCAGCCCAACCGGCCAAGCGCCCACGCGTCGATACGGGTGCCTTGGTCCTGAGAGTCTAGGGTTCGATATAATAGTCATTCTTTAGGGATCCTGATATTATAGTCTCAGTGTCGTAGAGTATGTGCCAAAAAGCCTGTTCCGGTTGAAATGGCTGCCTTTACGGGTTCCACTGAGGGTTGCTATTTCAAGGTTCCTGAATGGTACACGCATGTAGGGACTACAAGGGCATACCTGTACAAGAATGGCATGGGTGGGGCGCCACTGCATCCAATCAGAGGTTCAGTGAGGTTGTAGTGTTCTCAACCCTAAACCCTATTTTGCGTGGGTAGAGCTTAAGAACATCTGGCCGACTGCTCACTCAGACCTGTGTAGCCAAAGGCTTCCATTGGGGAAGCATAGTCTCATGGAGGTTAAGGATGTATTTAGGGGTCGGGTAGGACTTTCCGGTTTTGGGAAGCATTTAGGGTTTACAGCCGTTAAGGGTATGGTAACGAAGTCTTTTGGGTGTACACGTTACTCTTGTGCTTCGCTACGACGATAACTTGTATGATATCCCTTAGGAGCATAAGTGTGATTGATGCTCTTGCTTTCTTGTTCTTCCACACAGCATAATGCTTGTTTTTGTTCGTGGCCATTTGGCTCTTGTGCCCTGAGCAGAGCCCCGCACGAGTGCTTGGTGCTGGACCCGATTCCTGGGCCCAAACCCCTAACCCAACTAACTGCCAAGACCCAATATTGCCAATACCTCTTTAACAACCCTTTCTTTGAAGCATCGCCTAAGCTCTGTATAGAAAGTTTCAGCAGCAATCCCAGAATGCAGGCTGAACCCCTAGCCCTAAGCCCTCACCCCAAGCCCTGACACATATCCTCTAAAACCGAAACCCTTATCCCCTGAAGCCCCTATCCCTTTAAACCCTAGAGCCTTAACCACTAAGCCTTCATTGCCTTCAACCCTACCTTAACCGCAACTAGCCTACCTTTTACAGGACGTATATAATAGTGATAACAAGGAGCCCCAGAAAGGTAGACTTTTGTTGGGCCCAGCGACCACTAAACCCTGAACCCTGAGCCTTCCATTCGAAACCCGAAAATTATCCAGAATTTCATCCTACACCCCAAACCCACAAATCCCAAACCCCCAAACCCTAAGCCCTAGACTCCTTAAGCCCCTAAACCCTTAACCCTATAAAGCACTAAAACGTTAAACCCTAAAGCCTCAACCCCTGAACCCCCATACTACCGTAAACCCCCTAAACCCCTCAAATCTCCCCGCCCTTCTCCGCCCCCTCCCTGTTTCGGCGCCCCAGAGACTCCAATATTTCTTAACTAAGGAATATACGTTAAACCATATCAAGGATCCTACTACAATTTAAGGGATATTGGAGTCTCTGGGTCTCAGGCTTCTGCATCTCCGCTAAACCCCTTAAACCCCTCAAATCTCCCCCCCACCCCCCGCCCTCTCTCCCTGTTTGAGCATCTCAGTCCTGAGCCCTTAACCCTAGAAAGCCCCTAAACCCCTCTCCCCCCCCCCCCTCCGCCCCCTCCCTGTTTAAGCATCTCAGGCTTCTGCATCAGCCCTCACCAGGCCTTGGAGCTGCAAAAGGCAGGGCCGAGGCGCCCCAGGGGGCTCCGGGGCTCAGGGCCTCCAGGGCTGGGGGGTTTCAGTATGAAAAGAACATCTTTCAGTGCTACTATCATTAAAGAGTTCTTATTGTTATTCTTATTGGAAAATTATTGCTTCTATTGTTATTATTTCGATTTATTTTCATATTTTCATTGTTGTTGCTATGCATGCTTCGGGTTGGTTGAGGGCTTCGGGTTCTGGGCTGAGGGTTTAGGTCTAAGGGTCTAGGGCGTGGTGTAGGGCTTAAGACTTCTGGGGGTTCATAGGTGAGAGCTTTGGGTTCAATGGTTTGGGGCTTCGTTCGGCTTTAGGGCTCAGTGACGGTTGATTTCGGTTTTCCTTTGGAAGCGGAGGCGTTCAGGGGAAGTAAAGGGTTGCAGCTGTTTGCGAGGGCCTTGAGGCCCTGTAAGGTTCGACGGCCTTGAAGCACAGAGCAGCTACATAGAGTGTTGCTTTCATGTCGAGACGAAGCTTTCACGCCGGTCACGCAGGCACCCCTTCAGTTGCCTTTTCAACCCACGACTGAAATCGATAACTCAGGGTCCACTGTTTGGGTCCTCGATGCCTATCGGGGGGGTGCCCGGGAGCCGGGTTCGCTTTTTCGGGTACCCTAAACTCCAAACCCCAAACCCTGAGCCCTCAACCCTCAAAACCTAAAAACTTATCTAAGTCTCAACAAACCATAAAAACCATAAACAACTCCAAACTTTCGAAACCCCGGAAACCCCTCAGGTACCTGAAGCTCCTCGTCACGAACGCAACCGCCGGTATCCTCATCGGCAAGGGCGGGAGTGCTCTGAAGGAGCGGAGCAGCAGCTGGGTTCTTCTAAAGGGGGATTGGTTTAAGGTACCCTATAATGGGGATCTGTAAGGGCTGCTATTAAGGGCTTCGGGTTTTTTAAGGGTTCTTCTTAAGCAATTTTAGAGTTTAAGGTACCATAAGTTAGAAATTTAGGGTTCCGTACAAATCGATAGCAGTTTAGGGTTTCTTAAAGGCTTTGCAAGGGCCGGAGCGCTTTCAAGGAGTGAAAGCGGCAGGGCAGTGCTTGAAACTTCGTTGAAAGGGCTCAGCGCTGGAAATATCTATATCTCTGTATTTCAAGATTTTATATGTGTATATAATCAGCGTACATAATCATATACGTTTACATGTATACATGTATATATGTAATATGTATGGAGGCGTCTTTCGGAGCGCTGCGCGTTTTTCGAAGCAATCGTGAGAGCAATGGGACGGCAGGATCTTGAGACCAGCACCGGCTGCTGCGTGAAGCTGTCGCCCTCTGGCAGCTTCTACCCCGGGAGCCCCCTGGCTTTCTTTGGGTACTTGGAGGTTCATGGGTAGTTATAAGTGGGGCTATAAGTAGGGTAACTATACTTATAACCCATATTAGGGGACTTATAACCCTACTTATAACTACCCATGAACCTCCAAGTAGGGCTTGAGACCTGGGGTGTGGGGCTTAGAGTTTAGGGTTATGGCTTCTTTGGGTAGGGTTTAGGATGCAGTGTGCGCTGCATTGGGATAAAGGTACTCAAAAGCTTGCGTTTCAGCCCACTGTGAGAATGTGCTTCAGGGTTTGGGCTTGGGAAGTGCAGGGTTTTGTTGGACTGTGATGGGATTCTCAAGTGGATGAGAGTGCTGTAGACCTTGGTAGCCTTCTCGCAGTTGGACCGAGTCCACTATTGGAGCAGCACTTATAACCTTCTTTCGTGGCTTCACGGGCTTTCATGATTTTGAGCAGACATGCCTGGCTTCTCCTTCTTTTGAGACGGTAGACCCAGTAGACCTCTGGCTCTGGGTACAGGAATGATCCGATTTTCACGGAGGACGAACCACAGACAATGCAAACTAAGGCGGAGGCTACCGCGTTGTCGCCATCTCTGGGCAAGAGGCCGAACCGTGGGCTCACCATTGTGCGGGACTTTCGGTCGATAAGCTCCGGAAGCGAAAAATCAATGCCAAAGCCCGTCAGGTGATCTAGGAATCTTCGAATCTTCAGCGTCTTATACTATACTATACTATCCTGTATTACGATACTGTCCGGACTGTACGATACGGTACGATACTCTACGAAACTATACGATCCTATACGACGATATGATACCATCTATACCATACTATCCCGTACTATCAGATACTTGCGCGGAACCCTTCGATCGCCCACTCAGAGACTCGATGGAGGCTGTAGCTGTAGCTCTTGAGGAACCACAGCCCACAAAGAGCCCTAGCCTGAGCCTAAACGGGACCCCTGAAGAAGCCTTAGAAAACCCTTCCCTTCAACGGAGCCCGCTTGAAGAAACCTTCAAGAGCCCTTAGCTGCTCCCAAGCCATAAGGTTTCTGAAGGCCGGGGTCTGTTGCGAGCACAACCAGCGTAAGAAAGGAACATCTTCAAAGGAACTTGTTAGTGGAGCCCTTATACTAACCGTATTGTACCCCCTTTGAAGGAACCGTTAAAGATCGCTGGTAATTGTACGGTTGTTCGAATGATCAAGACACTATACTACACCGTACTATACCATACCATGCCATACCATACTGTCATATATACCACACGGCATTATTCCATACTAGCATACACTATGGTACTTTGAGCTTTTTCTATACTATACTAGACGAGCCACTATTTTGTTTAGGCTCCTGAGTCGGGCCTGCCCTGCAGGATTCAGTGGAAGCAGTTCTCGCAGGGGCGCGGCACCTGAAAACTGGGTTTGGCTTTCTTAGAAAAGCGGGGACCTAAACAAATTACCAACAACATTTTTGGGATTTAAATTTGTAGTTCTAGTATAATGTACCTCAAAAACCCTATTCTGATTCGTTAGGCCCCTATAATTTATTCGATTTGCAGGGCCCCATAAGCGCAGAAGGCCTTGGTGTACCCTAAGCCTAAAACCTGAAGACTTGAAGAGTCCTGAATGACATTAAAGCCTGGGCTTTACATGAAACCCTGTTCTTTGGTCCTGAACCCGCAACCCTGAGACCCACAGCGACCTTAAACCCTTTCATGGTCATCACCGTAACACGACGTGCTCAGAAGAAGAGGGGCACGAGCAAGAACAAGAAGAGCAACAACTGAAGCAGCAACAACAGCAGCAACAACAACCACAACCACCACGGCGACAGCAGCAGCAGCAGCAGCAGCAGCAGCAACAGCCACGGCGACCCGGACAACGACAACGACAGGAACCGGAATAGCATTACTCATCACTAGTCTGGCACTAGCACTGAAGATACAGGCTTCATTGAAGTCATGTGGACCAGTTTCCCTGCCGACTCGCAGAAGCAGCATAGGTGAAACAGAGCCCTCCGGGTTCACTCTCCGTTTCGGGTATATATGGGCTGAAGACTTTAAAGACTTAGGTTCATGGTTCAGACCCTATTCCAAGCAGATCCCTCAATCTCAGAATCCTTGCTTGAGTCCCTGAACTCATTCCGCGACCTCCGACCAAACCCAATTTTCGCAATTGCCTCCAGCTGGAAGCTTAACCTCTCAACTATGAGCCGGCAAAGGGTCTAGGGTTTCGGTTTAGGGTTCAGGCGGTTTAGGGTTTAGGGTACACCCCTAGGTTGCTATCGCAGCGGAGCCCGAGCGATGCTTGATTCTTGCACGCCAGGTCATCGAAGCATCCCTTGAAGCGGAGCGGCATATTGCCCCTCGCTTCGCTTGATTTGGAGTACTGTCCCTTCTCATTATGGACCCCATGTGTGTATATGTACACGGATACGGTTATATATGCTTATTATATATATATATATATATATCCATATAGGTTTTATTCATGTATAGAGTAGACACCGAATCCCTATTCTAATCTGCGGGCTCCTCACCTGGAAGTTACAGATGACTGGGCGTTGTGTCTGTTGCAGTGGTCGAAGTAAGTACTGCAGGCCACACCTCAAGAATGTTGCCCTTGGAACCTGCCTTGAGTCATGTTCAATCAGAATCTTCGCCACTGCCCGCCTGGCAGCGACACGATTCTGAGCATCTCCCGACCCTAACTAGTAGTGGGATCCTTATTATAAGCACACCTAAGTAAGGTACCCCTAAGTTAGTGGGATCCTTATTATAAGGACCCCTAAGTAAGGTACCCCTAATTATTGAAACTCCCAAACTTAGCCGAGGCACAAAAGGAGGGCCGCGAGGTTGAAGACAGGCATCGGGTTTTGCCCCGCCGGATTTGGTGCTTCCTTTAGGGGTTTAGGGTTTAGGGTTTAGGGGTTTAGGGTTTAGGGGTTTAGGGTTTAGGAGTGGGTGCTTTGTTGGTGTCGCTTGTTTCCTGGGTGTTGCTCGTCTGAATGAAGTTTCGGATCCTGTAGCGCGAAGGGGAAAGAAAGCACAGAAGACCTGCGGGTTCGCGAGTTGCGTGGAAGCCTGAATCCTGAGAAGATCAGATCTGGGAGTATAGTAGGACGGGAGTTAGTCGGATCTCTGTCAATGCTTCGACCCACCCTTCGCGACCTCATGGTCTTCTTCGAGCTCGGGCCAAGCCGAACGAAACCTGCTCGTGGTGGATGCGCAGTTGACATGGGCTCATAGGACACATGAAGTGCGACAGAAAGCGGTTGAGTGCACTGTGCTTGTCAGGGTGCTGGTTCAAGCGACTTGACAGCATTACGGACAAGAGCCACGGCCATCGGAGAGAGACAGCTGGGGATCAGGACCCGAAGCTGGAGGTCCCTCTCTTTCCCCGCCGGTTTTTTCACGAGAACCACGGGGCTGTTTCGGAATTTTCACTGCAGCGTCGTGCACTCACGGCGTGTTGAACTTCTTGTTGACACATGTCACAAGTAGATCTGGGTGCTAAGCAAAGCCCTGCTCTAAGGTAGCCATGCCTTTCACTTCTTGCGGACTCATCATCGGAAAGAGTGGTGCCTCCGCCTGATCTAGAGCTGGGCGAGGGCGGCCTTGAGAGCAACCCCTCCTCTGCCTCTGTCAAGCCCTGATGTGACCAAGGAGCCATGCAGAAGGCCATTGCTGAAAGAACAGGCTGACGGGAATTCGGCTTTGGGGGGGGGGGGTGTTTGAAAGAGAGTGGGCCGTGTGAGCAGCTGAATCGGAGGTATCACGGTCAAGATCACGCCACAGGGCAAGAACGTCGTGCCGAATGAAAGCCCCTCTGCCTAAGTTTGAGTGGCGAGCAAGCGCCGACGGACCACCGCTTTCGAGCAGACCTGGAGCCCTGCGGCACCGTCCAACCGAGATAGACATTCAATGGTTATCGCCACTCACTAGCGTGCTGTGGTTCCCTGCGAGTGCGCTACTGCTCGATCATTGCAGCCACCGCACAGCCCGAATTCCAGAGCCCTGCCCAGGGATCGCGACGCTCCAGGGCACCCTGATGGCCGTGAACAATGCCGCGACGCAGGTGTCGGGTGAACAGCTCCCCAACCGAAACTTGCCAAATCTTGTTGCGTGAAGACCTGCCGGCCCCGCTTTGAGCTGCGTCAAGCCGGGATGACTTCCCCCTGCCCTTAGGCCTTAGGCCCTTGCCCTTCGATCCCACGCCATGCGCAGGTCTTCCGTCTCATACAGGGGGACACATCTCTCGGCACTCACATGGTCCGGCAGCTCAGATCTGGTCTGGGGGCCTTGCTTGGAGGTTCATGGGTAGTAGTTATAAGTAGGGTTATAAGCCCATTAATATGGGTTAGAAGTATAGGTACCCTACTTATTACCCTGCTTTTATCTACCCATGATCCTCCAAATGGGGCCCCCGGGCCTTCTCAGGGTGGTGTCAGGTGACAGGCAAACAGATTTCCGCGCACCCGGGGGCTGCTCATAGGACAGTTAGTTGCGGTTTACACCCGGCAGCCCACTGACAGAGCTCCTACCTTGGCCAGGAGACGCCTGCGGAGAGCGCCGCCAGTTACGGCAACTTTCACCCGCAGGGGCTCCACCCGCAGGGGCTCCACCCGCAGGTGCCATCGCTTGGAGTGAAGCTCCGTGAACGCTCACAGACATGGCGAAGGCTAAGACTGTGAGTCTTGCTCGAAACTCCAAAACACTGAACCATAAGCCACAGCCCAACCCGAAATCGCTCGAATAATATAAACATGGGACTGATTGATTTGCAAGGCCGTGGCACGACGTTGGCATGGGCGCACTTGTTTCAGTGTGTCAGGCTTGATGCCTCCGCATATACTTCACATACACATTCGATCGACTCTCCAAATGTCTGTCCGTATGTCTGTATGTCCGTGTATGTCTGTATGTTTGTATATGTCTGTGTGTGTATGTGCGTATGCATGTATGTATGTATGCCTGCATGTATGTGTGTATGTATGTGGTGTATGTAGTGTGTGTGTGTGTGTGTGTGTGTGTGTGTGTGTGTGTGTGTGTTCGCATGCATGGATGCATGCATACAAGGAAGGAAGCAGGGAAGGAAGAACATATTGACTCTCTGTCTATCTCTCTCTCTCTCTCTCTCTCTCCTTCTCTTTCTTTTGCTCTCTCTATCGCTCTCTATACATCTCTTTCTACCTCTTTCTACCTCTCTCTATCTCTCTCTATCTATCTGTTTCTACCTCTCTCTCTTTCTCTCTGTATACATGGATATTCATATATACATATATATATATATGATATACATATATATATATATATATATATATATATATATATATATATTTGTATAGATATTTATATACAAAGCTACCGCTAGACATTACTGTGCTACGTGGTCTACTACATGCTCATGGTGCCATGCAGAGCTCAATCTGACGAGGGCATCTCGCCTTGGCAGCCGGCCCCTCAACCAGCAAGGACTGCACCGGCGCCCAGGCACGAACCCGGGTGACATGTGGCTTCCGGAAAGTGAAGGGGGGATATACTATGTAAATTTTACTATATACTATGTACTCTATACGAGATGCCCTACTGCCTCCAGCTAGGAGGATGAGGCAAGATCCAGGTTGAACATGAGGAGGGAGTCCTGCAGATTCCCTTCGGATCACAACCGCAACTGCCCCCTCGAGCTGCAAGCGCCTGAACCCAACTCTTGTGGATTTCATACAGTCTCATGCACTAGTCGTTGGAGTAGTCCGCAGCATAAATCTGGTGCGATGTAGGATGTAGGCATAGTTTCGGTGCAGCTGTTCAGGCCAGGTAGTCTACGCCTCAAAGGTGTTTAGGTCTCGAGAAACTCGCACAAAAACACACGCACATGACATTCAGGGGAGACTGGAGCAATATGGTCGCGCCGCCAGCCGTGACTCGACCGCAAGAAGTCTTCGGCGTATATATATATATATATATACATACATACATACATACATAGTATATGTATATATATATATATATATATATTGATACCCAATTGTCATAGGGTCGTGAAGAAAGAGCCTGGGGTTCTGAGGTATATAACAAATAGGATTGCTTCTGCCTGTGAGGGGAAGGCTTCCCTCGACTGCTTTGGGCATCGCCGCAAAGTTTGTGCAAGCCTGTACTTAGGGGTACTTAGAAATAATTGTTATTTTTTGTTATTATATTCCTCAAGAAACAGCTAAAATTATAGTTTTTGCTAGGGTTCTAACTTCAGTATAGTGTAGAGTCTGGATCATTCTGATGCCCGGAAGCTTGGGGGCGATGTTCGAAGTATTAAAACCAAGAGGGTTTCGCGGCTTGGAGCTCAGACATAGGGAAGTCGGAAGGCCTCAGCGCAGGGAGTAGGACGAATGGCCCTTCTCAATCTTCTTGTCGCATTCCCCGAAGTGCTTTGAAAGTACGGTTGATGATATAAATCCTGCATTACCCATAATAATAAGGAATATATATACCATAATTCCCATAGTTTAGGGTCCTTAAGGTAATGCAGGATTTTTATCATCAGCCGTATGAAGCATCCAAGCTCGGGACGAAGGGCAGCCTGAAGCCTCCAGGCTTTTGCCGGGGAGCTTGTGAGTTTAACCCTAAATCCCTATAAACCCCAAACCCTAAACCCTAAAACCCTAAGCCTTAAACCCTAAAACCCTAAAACCCTAAAACCCTAAGCCTTAAAGCCTAAACCCTAAAACCCTGAACCCTAAACCCCAATAGCCGTAATTGCCTCACTTTACTACTTAAGGTGGTACTCTCAGTGAGGAGAGCTTCCGCAGCTGAGGCCAAGCCCTTCAATTCCGGGCCTGGTGACTATGCGCTAGGCCCGTGGCATAGGGGCCCAAATACTATTGCCTGTACTATTCTTGGGGGGTTCCTGATTATAACTGTAGTATAATAATGGGCCCCGAAACCCTATTCGAACTATCACGGGCCCTGTAGTAGATTTCGCTGGGAGCAGCTTGAGGATTCGGAGGCGGTGGCATTTCGGGTCAGGATGCCGAGAGGTTCAGGTGTGATACTTGCGGCTTGCTCTTGTCTTCAGCTCACTGCCTCAAGCCAGAGCCCTCCAACTTTCCAGTGGCTGCCCCACCCCCCCCCCCACCCGCCCACATCAGAGAGGTGAGTCAAATGGCCCAAGGCTTCCGGTTCTTCCTGCGAGTGGCCGCTTTAAACGCCCTGAACCCCTAGTCTTTGCGAGTGGGAGCACCAGCCTGGCCCGCGGAGCCGCACACTTCGAGGTTCCCGGGACGTAGTACCTGGGGTTATTAATTAAGGTAACTACACTTATATGGACTTATAGGTTATTAATTAAGGTAACTACACTTATATGTACTTATATGGACTTATAGTCCCAATTCGGGTACTTATAACTGTACTTGCTAAGTCCCATGAACCTCCGAGCAGGAACTCCATGCAGCATCTTCTTCGAGGTGACCGATATGGAAGCCGCCCACATCATCGGCAGCTCGGCAAAAAGGAGCCAGGAGCTGCAGACGTGAAATTTGTCGGCATACTCATGTCTGGAGGAATGGAAGGTTCTTCTTCGGCCCACACACTCTATCTTCGGCGAACCACCTAAATCCTGAACCCTCTTGTCAACCCACATATATATACACCTCTAGATACCTGCATAAACCCTCATAGACCCCTACCAACCGACAGAAACCCTTACAAACACTCATATACCCTCATAAATCAAGTCCCTACCAACCGTCATATCAACCCATATAAGTCCATGATCTAAACCCCTCAGAAACCCTACAAAAGCCTGTCTGAACCCGACAACCGTCAATTGCAAGGCAAGGGAGGCGCCTTCCTGAAACAGGTCCGGAGCTCAGCGAAGTCGGAGCTTCAGGGCTTAGGGGTTTAGTGGGTCCCTTGAAAGGGATCCTTAAAGGGATCTATAGGGGTTCCTCATAAAGGGATCCATCGATCTATAAGGGTTCTGTGAAGGGGTTCCGGGTGAAGGGAGCAGGTGGTGAGGAAAAGAGGATGTTGACTGAGCAGAAAGTCCTCAGAGTCCCAAGGGTACGTGGCTGGATCTTTGAAATCTACAGACTGCCTTTCTAAGGACCCATTCCTCAGTCCCACATGAACCGTCGCAACTTCTGTCCAACATCTGATCTTAGGACTTTCAGAGGCATCCAGAGGTTTCTCCACCAGAAGATCATGACACTGTGCACTGCTGGTGACCATGAGCGAGAGATTTGAAGAACGCCCAGCCCCCCCCAAATTCCCCCCAAGCTCCCCATGAGAGCCCCGGCCAGGTGTGCCAGGAGACCGGTGCAAAAGTGCAGCTCAGCAAGAGAGGACGGCATCCCCGCATCGCTGGTCGGAGGGGACTCGAGTGTACCAACACTCCACCATCCTGAGTTTCTGTTTGAGGCTCGTGTATTTAGTCTCATCCTGACAACATTGAACCTCGTCGCCGTTCGATGTTGACTTCAGAGCGGGGTGTTGGGCTCGCAGGATCTAGGAATCTAGGGGATTCAGCCCTTGGCCTTTTCACGGAACGACATGTCAGCTTCTTTGCGCAGGCGAGACGAATTTCGGTAGCGACAAGCGACTGGTCACGGTCTCCGGCATGATCCAGCCGCTTCTGCAGCAAAGTGGTCGGGAATCTTGAATCGTGTTCAAAACCTTACATGCCCAAAATGCAGGCATCGTCATGGCAACTTTTGCAAGAATCCAAAGACCCGGTACTGCAGCCAAAAGCAAGGAAGCCCCACGGAGCCTAGGAGAGCAGCGACTTTTTCAGGACTTCTAGGATTCTAGGAGAATTCCAGCAGGCCTTAAATGTGGGGGGGGGGGGGTAGGACTTAGCGAGCGAACTTGGAGGTTCTCGACCCCATTCCAATTGTGTGCAAAAGTCGGTCCGGGATGGGACTCGGTTTCATGTCGGAGCAGTCCGTCTGTCGTGGTTTTGTGGCCCAGGCAAGTGCACGGAGCGCAGCCTGGACAGCAAGTTGTGCCAGCAGTTGTCTCCACGGCATTTCCAACACCTTACCAATCAGTTTGTGCTGAGAGAAAAGGTGTCAGAAATTCCGAGGGCCGGCTGGTTTCAAAGCGTTAATGTGGGGCCATCACAGGTCTGCCTGCTGTTGGGCACTCGCTTTGCAAAGATGGTCGGAAGATCTAGTTGCGCGCACGCTGTCGTTGGAATTCCAGCAAATTTAAAGTAGATGGGTCTGCTAGTCAGCCACGTGGTGATATTGGAGACCCGGGCTGCTGCTGTAAATGCTCCAAACTCAATACTAGGCTACAAGATCTGATGTCGCACTCCGACGGCTTGCAGACTTCTAGATACTAGGCTCTAGTTCAAGATGCTTTGGGTCTTGCGGAAGTGCGCTTCGATGTTCCCCGAGGCATTCGCTGGTTCTACAACGGGTGGCTGAGGTGGCGGCTCGGGCCCGGTTCTGAGCTGCCGCCTCTTCAAAGCGCATGACACTTTTCTTGCAAGACGACCACAGGGGCCTCCCGAGCAACATATGTCTTGAAGCGATGGAGGTCCGGATCTTAGACTTCAGTGGGTTCTCTTGAGAACAGCCCATGTCAAGATGAGGTAGTTGAGTCAAGACTGCCAAGGTTCATTGGTTCAAAGCCTCTGAAGCTTCCAGCAAGGAAAAGTCTGTAGGTCACCGATGCCGGCTCTCTCGATGAACATGCGGGTGTGCTCAAGGGAAGACATTCGCACGAACCTGGAAGCAAGATTTCCTTCACGGATAAATGGCCAAACGCTCTACCAGCAGAGGAGCATGTAGCCTTCGAAGTAGACCCGCCGAAGCCTCTGCCGGGAAGCTCTGGCAGGCTAGCGGCTGATGTGCGCTGTCTCCGTAGAGCCCAAGGTTTGCCTGTGCAAGGCAGTTTCCCGCTGTGCCCAACTTAGCTTCGCTTTTGCACATTGCACGAGATCTCGTTGAGTTGAAGGGGACGGCGGAGCACTGTGCATGTGACTTTCGAGGTTCGGCGCCAAGGCTGCTCATCGGAGCGCGGGGACCGCGGTCATGATGGGGCTCGTCCCGACGCAGTGTAACAAGACGAAAAAGAGGAGGTGTAGAGCCCGAGAATCTGTCAGAGATGGCATGGTTCACTAGTGCTCATCATCATTAGAGCTGGAGCCTGTCGAATCAGGAGTCGGGATCGTTGCATTGCATGCAACTACATTAAGTGCATGCTTGGAGGTCGCAGGCCCTTGCCTTGAGGACTGCACATGGGAGGACTCACGTGTTCGCTGCAAGGTAGGTCATGTGCAGGTAGAACCAACTACCCATAGGCCCCAAAGTAGTTCCTTGTTGGGATTACCTTATAGGATGAAAGCATATGAACCCCAAAAAGGAACTACTTTGGGGCCGTGGGGTACAGGTCGAGCTACCACCAACAGTTTTCAGCGCCGCCGATGGCTCCCGCAAGGCCGCGCATCTCCAGGCCCATGACGTTTCAGCTGCAGATATCATATCAGAATCACAGTTGCAGGAGGAACGACGCATCAAGCCCAGTAGACATTGCTCAGAGCCATGCCAAGCCGGTTGGGCAATATTCCGACCCTACTACCTTGGCTAGCGGCCAGCCGGCTAGCATCAGCCGCCCTTGAAGGTGACGTGCAGTGGAACGAGCTGGCATCCACCACGCTGTCGCTCGCTGCGCATCAGATCGTCTATGACAACCGCAGCGACAGCCTTTGGCTTTACGGCGGACAGTTCGGGCTTGGAGATGACGATAGCACAGATGAGCTCTGGAAATTCGATTGTCAAACGCAGTCATGGAGCAATCAGACCGTTTCATCTTCCGCAAAACCGCCTGCCATGCACAATCACAGAATGGTTTACGACGACCAGCACCATTCCCTTTGGCTGTTGTCCTATGGATCTGGTGAGTCTGGTGATGATCTATGGACTTTGCAACTAGACACATTGGTGTGGAGCAAGCCAGAACTCACGACCTCACGCCCCCCCGGTTTCGCTCTGCAGGGCTCGCAGGCGCGGTACGCACCGGCAGTCGTCTACGACGGCGGCAGTCGGGCATTGTGGCTTCACGGAGGCGGATGGGACGCAGATGGCAATGTGTTCTGGGACTTGTGGAGGTTGGACTTGCAATCTCTGGAGTGGAACGAGACCATGGTCAATGCTGCGACGAGGCCGTCTGGACGTCGCAATGCCCAACTCGTCTATGACAGCAGCCGCAACGCGCTTTGGCTGCATGGCGGGGTCAACCCCCCCAATCAACTCTCAGACCTATGGCAGCTACAAATTGCAAGCATGACATGGCGTGAGTTAACTTTCGGGGAAAAGCCCAGTGGGCGGCATGCCCATCAGTTAGCGTACGACAGTTCCAGCGATGCGCTTTGGCTGCACGGTGGATTTGCTGGTAAGCCCCTGAATGACCTGTGGAAGCTGGAGCTTGACACGATGCAGTGGAGGCAGCTCAGTTTCGATGTAATGCCTTCTGGTCGGTGGCAACATGGCATGGTCTTTGCCACGGCTTCGGCTTCGCTGTATCTTCACGGTGGGTTCAAGAGCCAATCAGACTACAGCAGGTGGGATGATCTATGGAGGCTTGAACGCTTAACGACAACCACCACGTTCTCAATCACGTCATCGTCAACAAGCTCTTCTTCAACGAGCAGCTCAAGAACCTGGTCGTCTTCGTCAACATCCTCTTCTTCAACGAGAAGCTCAACAACCCTGTCCGCGACCAGCACCACCACGACGCAGACTGAGGGGAGACTACTGGTTCATGTCACTTGGGGCTTCTTCTTCCAAAGCTCGGGCGCTTGGACGCTTCAGGCTTTCGGTGCTTACCTGGCCATCACTGCCGGCCTCTGCAGTCTCAGGTATCTGTGGAAGCTGCAAGACGTCAGAAACGCAACCGACATTCCAGGACGGGGATGTTGAACGCTGTAACAAACACACCTGTTTCTGTCTCTGGAATTGTGCGAGTTTGCCTTTTCCGAATTTAGGGAGGTCACGCAAGTAGGTTGCTCTAGCTTGACAGCTGCAGCGCGCTCCAGCACCCGAATCCCGCGAGGCCAAAGCTATGGGCTGAGTGGGAGTGCTGGCAACGACAACGGAGACCTGCCAGAGCCTAGGCCTAGTCTGGCGGAGGTGCCCACAGAAGGTGGGCAGTCGGAGGTTGCTGCGGCACCACGTACCTTCGCAGAAGACAGCAAGGGTTTGTTAGAACGTTGGAAGAACAGCCCATGGTTCCTCGCGATTCTCATGCTCTTCGAATCCGTGAACCTGGTCTCTTCAACCATCTACGTCGTGGAAGCCTATCAGCGAGCGGTCCTGACAGATCTATATGTAACGTGCTCAGACGGCACAGTTCTCGTACCCATTTTCGCAGCGCAGTGTCCCGCAGAGAATGCGGTGCTGAATGGCATGCGCAACTGCGATGCTGCCCTTGCGATCGGTGATGTCTGCGAAGCAGACGCTGTCACCGATGGCAGTAAGAACTGTGACACGAGCAACACTCTGCAAAACTGCGGCATTTATGATGTATACCGGAGGACATCCACATGCGGTGCCTGTGGAACACTAGCGCACCTTCTGTGGGTGTCCGCAGCCGCCTCTCTTTTCTGTACAGTTGGTTGGACCTGCCGCTTTTACACCAAGCGCCTCGAGCTGTGTTTTGTTAGCGTCCGACCCCGCCTAAGGCGACAGCACCATTTTCTTTATGCTCTTCTCGGCAGTTGGCTGCTCCTTGCCACCGGCATCGGCTTGTTCATGGAAGGTGGCATCGTAGTGCTACTGATGGCCGTCGTTTGCCCGATGGCGGCCTGGCTCCTCTGGCTCTTCGCTCTGGTTATCATCGTGCACGACCCAACTGCCGAGGAGGAGGTCTTCCACCAAGTTCAGCAATCGGCAGCTTTGGAGTTGCCGCTTTTCAATGTGCTGGTTGCCTTCCTGATGGAGGAGAAGGATATCCGGCAGCTGAACCAGTTCCGACTTCCACTTCAGCAAGGTCTCCGGATTTTCGAAGACCTGCCAGAGTGCATGATCGGTGCGGTGGACCTCCTGTTCTTCGGAGGCAGCTGGTTCACCGCGTTGGGCATCGGTATGTCGCTTTTGATGATCACTTTGCAACTGAGCATGGCTGTATCTGCCAACGTGTTGCAGCAGGCGAGGCTCATAGCAAGGCCACGCCATCGGCGACAGATAGACCGAGAGTGATACTTATTGTGGCAGTTGCACGTTGGAGGCGACCGCCGTCGTTGCTTCCAGGCTAACTAGCGAGAACGAATCTGTCCAACTTGCGAGGGCAATTGTTGGCCAACAGCACCCAAGCCCTGCAGGAGGGTTCGGCAGTGCTTGTGCGAGAAGTTTCAAGAATGAGCCTCCTTGTTCTTGATGACTCAATCCATTCAATGCATACCTTTTTACATGCCGCAATGCATGACATGAAGAGAGGAGATAGCAAAAGCCAAGAGAGTGTTCCATCGCCATGGGTGTATTCTGACGCAGGGTTTCAAATGCGCTGAGATAACCTCCCGGCCTTTGGCGTGAGGGCAGCCGCCAGACGAAAGTCGATACGTAGTCGTACGTAAGACAATGCCTCCTGAGCTAAGCTTCGCAAAGAGGCCGTTCCGCTCCCACTGAAGCCAGCTAACACCAAGCATATCTTCCGGCTACAATACGTTGGATGCTGTCTTGGAGTTGCAAAGCAGATCGCCGCAAGAGATATACATGTTGGATGAGTTGATGCCAAATGCAGCGCACCATGGATGTGTGTATTATGCGTTGTTTTATGTACAGACACACACACAGACACACTGTATGTGTGTGTGTGCGTGTGTATTATGTGTAGACGTAAATTTATCCCTCTGTACCTGTATATGCATTTGGATATGGACAAGGATATGTATGTATATATATATATATATATATATGTCTATGTATATATGCATGTTTGTATATGGCCATCGGCGCTGGGTGTATGAGATCTGCAGAAGCCCAGCGCCTTGTCGACCCAGTCAGACAGTCGCGAGCTGGACTCACGCCCAAGAGCTGCCTTTGTGCTGCCAAGTCTTTCGGATCAAAAGCATCGGGCTAGCAGCCTAGCATCAGAAACCCTGTTGCATTGAACAGCGCAGCAGCAACCCCGTTCGACTGTAGACAGCATCATCCTCGAAACTACAACAGACAGTTCCTACGTGTTACCGTTTTGTTATGTCCTCTCACGAATGCGGTAGCTTCTCAGAATCAGGAGTCCCGTTTTGTGGATGCGTGCGAGTTCCTCAACGCCGCAGGCTCCGCTCGGAGGCGTCAGAACTGCTAATGCCGCCCCCCTTCGCACCTTCGAAGAAGCTGCGTTGGCAAAGCCTCTTCTTCTTGCCCCTGGCGCAGAATGAGAAGCTTTTTGTTGGCTACTTCCAGGGCTGTTGTACCCCCAAAGCTGAGAGCGAGACAAAGAGGAAAGACCCGAGATCTGGCAGGACTAGGCAGGTTTCTACTTGTTCTGCCTCAATTCGGTGAAGTGTGCCGCCCTGAGCTACCTCATAGAAGGGGGTCTGAGCTAGACCGTGGTGCGAGATCCCGGGCTCGCCCGAAAGAGTTCGGAAGGCCCAGGCACTACAAGCCAGATCCCCAAGCGTCCCGAAACGCCACCCTTCACGACCCCACAAGCAGCCCACCAGAAGCACCGAGTCCAGATCTACTCAAGTTCTTCACACGGAACCCAATGTACCGTTACTTGGAGTAGCTCGTTTCGCGAAAGGCTCTTCTGCAGGAGGCTCAACTTCTCCGGCCTCACCTGATGCTTTCCTCCTGGACTCTCGCATGTCTGAAGTTTTCTTTCCTTGCTGAACCCAGCGGTCCATGTGCGAAGTCAAGGTTAATTGCACGTGGTGGAGCAATGTGCTGCTAGCCTGCGATTGCGTTTGAGTTCGCAGTTTGCAATCTCATAGCAGCCCGCCAAATGCCCTTCCATGAGTACTGCGTGTAACATCCTTCCGTGAAAGCGGCAGGCTTTGGAAGGAGAGGACTTAAGTAGTTGCTTCAAGACTTACTTAGTAGCTGCACTTCTGCTGCAATTAGCGCATGGTCTTTGGAGGACCAAGCCGGAAAAAAAGCTCGTTTGAGGATTTCGGAGGTCCCGTTTCGACATGTGGAGCCGGTCAGTTTGATCCTTCGGAGCTTGCGAAGTTTGCAGAAGCCCCTGGACATGGCAGCCAGAGATCAATACCCCTTAATTGAGGAATATACCTTAAATCATAATATCAAGGCCTCTATCATTTAAGGTATATTCCCTAACTAAGGGGCATTGGGTTCTCTGGGCAGTGCAGTCAATGTGGGAGTTTCCGCCAATTAGGGGTACCTTATTTGGGGGTCCTTATAAGAAGGATCCTACTGGTTAGGGTACTGTATCAGAGTCCCCTGTTTTCGGAAATTCCCATGTGTGGCCAAAAGCCGGGACCCAAAGCAATACTGCAGTGCTCACTCCAGAAGCAAGAGTTTGCGAGCGTGCCGGGATCTCGATGAACCTGGAACGGCTGAGTAACGTAGGAGCCTTCACAATGGGGTTTGGGGGTTCCTTATTCTAGTGATAGAAAAGTATACCCCCAAACCCTATTCTAATTATTAAGGCCCCTATCCTATAGAGCCCCACTTTTGATCCCTTATGGAACCCTTTATAAACCCCTTTAAAATGAGCCTGGGAACCCTATGTAGGGGCCTCAAAAAGCAGAAAAGGGTTTCGCATTATATTATACTTTACTTACTTATAATAAAGAATCCCCCAAATAGTATGGGTACCTAAACCCCCAAAAGTAGGTCAAATAATGGCCCAAAACCAATAATGGGCTATTATTCTACATACTTTTGGGGTCCAGGTAATTATTGAGGTCCCTACGGTAGTGGTAGCAAGCGGAACAAGAACTCCGAGGCCCACGGTGTCATCTTCTGCTGTGGTCTGCTCTCGCCTCGTTGCCGACAGGCACGATCGGAGAGATTCCTAGGGAGACCCCTGAAAGGGGACCCTTCTTCACCCTACCTGTGGCTCTATGAAAAGGGACCTTGTTGAGAGGAGCTTCCTAGAGATGTTGAGACTTGAAGCTGATGCAGGACATGCTTTTGCTAGTGCGCCATCGCCATCCGGGTCGCAACCCCATCCAGGACCGCCTCTGCGAGGCCAACAGTCTCGTCGTGACCGCATCTTTATCCACGCCAGGATTTTCTGCGCCGCACTCCCGGACCTTGACGGCGTCAACTCGGCAGGCATCTGCTTCCGTCAAGGATCAGCATTGTGTCAGATCGACATGTGTGTATATACATGCATGATTATATATATATATATATATATATATATATATATAGTTATATATACGCTTTATTTATAATATATATATATATATATATCTCTCTCTCTCTCTCTCTCTCTCTCTACCTTTACGCATACATATACATATACATACACCTATACATTGGGAGAGAGAGAGAGAGAGAGAGAGGGAGAGAGAGGGAGGGAGGTAGTGGAGAAGCAACGGCCAGGGCAGGCGGCTCCAAGAGGAAACTGAGTCCAGACCTTAGATTCCCGGAGGACGGATCCGTTCCGTTCGGTCTATCGCAGGGTTTAATGAGGTTCGGGCCTTAGGGTTTAGCGTACAGAGACCTCTGGCCATAAATTTCGCTTTTGTAGTCAATGTGGTTTCAGACTTGAATCTATCCCACAGGACTTCGTTCCAATTGCTGCGTTTGGAGAAAGTTGAGGCGGCAGAGTCTCAAGATTTTTGGGGGGTAACCGACGAACAAGCCTCAACGGTGCTCTTCGAGGGTTGCCTCGTGCTTTTTTTGCCATCGGCCACAGACTCGCGCTGCGCATGAAGGGCTCATGCCTGAAACTTTGTAAACTTCGTAAGCCTTGAGAGACGGATGGGAGTTGGCGGCCCTGAAGCCACCGATGTCTTCGCCAGAGGTCCTCTGCCTACACCCCGCAACCGCCCATGTCCTTGATGCATCAAGGCTTCAGAGTTTCGGGCCGGAGCTCCCCAGAGAGTTTGGGGTTGAGACAACGTGTCATACGGTGGACAGAAGATCGGAGAAGTGCTTGGGTTTTGTGGGCTGAGGTTCGCCAGCCTCAGCTGCAAGTTCGAAACGGACTTGTGTTTGTGGGCGAACGCTGCTCCAACATCCTGGATAAGGACGTTCGGTTCCACGCCGACTGCAGGCAGGTCACATCCAAGCTTGACAGAGCGCTGAAAGCTGTCATGAGTTGCTCAGTGCTGCGTAACAACACCAGACTAGATGAAAGTTCGGTTCATCGAGCAATTTGCCACACCGAAAATACGTTAAAATGCTTGCACTTGGAGCCAGCAAGGCAAACGCCACAACACGTGTCGAAAGAAGATGCGAGAGGGCTGGTTCTTAGATTCTTGTTGTGACAGGCATTGTCAAGCCATGCCACAATCATTCATTCGAACAAGTAGCGGGTTTCTTAGATGGTTTCTGGGGTTTGGGGTGGTTTCTGGTTTTTTGACCCATAGACGTTGGAAAGTCGAAACAAAGCCACCAAACACACTCCAAGCAGTTCTAACTGGTAAACAAGACACAAAGAGACAGAAGCCAATCCATAGCATCTACTATACAGAGCTCGCAATCCGAATAAACTTGTAGAACGGAGCCCACAAATCGCCAGAAACGTTTGATGCCATGGCAAAAACTCCAAATGCATTGTGGCAATGTACGAAGATAGAAGGTTCACAGGAAACCCAATGTTTACTAAGTGCCCTGACCCAACATTTTGTCAGATTGCTCCATGCAGTGCGCCAGAAGATCGCGAATTCGCTTCGAAACCCAGAGCCTTCGCAAGAAACCCCGGACATCCGAAGAACAAAACAGCCACACCACAAGGGCAAGCGGCTTTCAATGATGCGAAGCACGATCCCCGCACCGGTACCGGGGCAGCCTTTCCACAGACAGGGAGCGTGTACGCTACCAACAGAGATGGGGAACCTGCCCCGCTGCATTGAATGGAATCCGCTGGTGAGTCGATCATGCGCGTTGCGTGCGCATCTAATCTTTCCGCCCCGCCTACCTCTCGTTCCGTCCGGCCGTGCCTGCCCCACCAAGTCCATCCAAGTTCTCAAGGGCGTGGGCTGTATGGGGAGGACCCAACCTGATGTCCGGACCCTAAACTTCATGGAGCGGCCCACTTCCCCACACCGCAAGAAACATGC